GAGAGCGAGTCGAGTTATACTTGCTTATGATCAGGGGGGTGACAAGTCAGATGAGGGTAAAAAGAAAGGAAAAAAAGGAAGCGAAGTGTCAAGCGAGAGCGAGTCGAAACCGTCTGAAGAATCGACGACTAATTGAAGACTGCAGTATCGAGAATCCTTGTGGGAAAAATACAGGGAACTCATGAAAATGAGAAGGACTCGCGATGAGGTCTGTGCAGAGTTACAGACAACTATTCGATTGGTTTTTGTGGACTTCGTATTATGTGGGGCTGTACCATGGGGTAACAAGTTTATGGATGGATTGTTGAGGATGAGTGTGGAGGACGCATGTTCCCTTGAGAAACAAGAAGCATATGTGTATGTTGCAATTTCGCCGATTTGTAAAGAAATTTATATTGGACGAAAGAGGAGATGGTTGAGCGCAAGATGAGCAGAGCACCTAAATCGTAGTAATCGGGGAGCAGAAAGGGTTGCGCACTTTTACCCGTGGATGTGGAACTTGAAGTTCGGAAGTCAAAAGTATGTACCCGATTCCAATTCACGTGGCAGCAGCTGAGGAGCTACCGGTGATTGAACAGTACTACATTCAGAAATGGTTCGTGTCCCTGATGTGAAGTCAACGAGATCCAGATCAAGAAAGAAGAGGAAGGGGAAGAAAGAAAGGAGGAAGAAGAAGTAAACGGAGAGAAGGAATGTGAGAAAAAATGAACTCTTACAGTTTTGGATAAGTGAGGGAGAAGAAAGAACAGTGAGTATTGTCAGACTAATGAAAAAACAGTTGAAGGAGGGAAATGTTTGCTTTACGTTGATATGTACAAAGGGAAAGAGTTGCAGAAATGGTGTCGAGGAAGAAGAGAGAACAGTGAGGGAGAAGAGAGAACAGTGAGTATTGTCAGACTAATGAAAAAACAGTTGTCAGACTAGGAAAGATTTGCAGAAATGGTGTCGAGTTTCCTGAAGTTCACATCTCCACAAACACGTCCAGATTCAGGTGTTGAGGTAGCTCAATGCTGCTAGTGGGACTTGGCCCCCGGTATATCCACCTTGCCCCACTTGCAGATGTGTCGAGTTGTAGGCGTGAGAAGCATCCGAAATAGCCCAAGTATCACGCAATTTCGGAGGCTGAAATATTGCCGCCTCTGGGGCGACGTCCCACTAGCAAAGCGGATTGGATTGAACGCCTGAATCTGGACGCATTTATGGAAAGGTGCACAAACGCGAGATTGAACTGCTTTCCTGCATTCGTGGCTAAAACGCATCCAGATTCAGGTGCTCCATCCAATACTCTTTGCTAGCGGGACCTCGCCCCTGATCTCTCTAGCATCTACGAAGTTGTTTTACTCACTTTTAATTGTGATTTATATTATTTCTCCTAATTTCCACTCGAATATTTGCCACACACCCTCTCCGATCAGTCCACAGGCGCAGAGGATATGGGGCGAGCTCGCACTTCCAAAGAGGATTGGATTTCGAAAACCAGACCTTACCGCTGGTCAGGCAAGTCGCTATGGTTGAAACTTGAAACCCGTTTTCAACCTCCTGGCTGAGACAGATCCAGCGTCTGGACTGGTCAATATAGTCCGCTGTGTAGTGCGTCGGAACACAAAAAAAAAAAAAAAAAAAAAAAAATCGCTCTGGTTGTCACTCCATGCTCATACTTCCGATATCAACATCTTTTCAAGAATGCAAGACTAAACGTGTTGTAAAAATGGTAGGGGAATAAAGAACGCTGAGGGCAAATTCACACTAGCACTATTTTACGTCTAGACAGGATTGCGGTCAGATGCATACAGGTCCTGCCGTAAATGCGATCGGATACATTTTTAGGTAGTGCTAGTGTGAGGTGGCCCTGCCAGTGAGACCGGTTCCCAGCAGCCTCAGCTGGTGTTATTCGACATGAAGAAAACTGAGCTCTCTTCGTGAAGGGGAAAGTTATAGAAGCTCCCCGCAGCAAAACCTTTGTACTCATTTGAGTCGCGCAGGACCCAAAATGACTTTTTGCATCATTTTTGCACCCTGGAAAATACTTTCCCACTGTTTTTGCCAGCGGGCGTCACCTTTTGCCCCGTTTGGCGGGAAATGAATACAGAGGTCTCGTCGTCGGCACCTTCTATGACGTTTCCCATCTTTTAAAGCGCAGAGGCCATAGCCCACTTGAGGAAGTTTAGTTCTGCGCTACAGTACTCCCCCGAATACAACGTAAGGTCATTATAGCTGAATTTGGAACATCTTTCAGTCTAAATTCAGCTATAATGACCGTACGTTGTACTCGGGTGAAGACTGTAGGGTGCACAATATTATGTGATTGTTTTTGTGTGTGTGTGTGTGTGTGTGTGTGTGTGTGTGTTTGTGTGCATGTGTCACAGAGCCCACCTAACAAAAAACCAATGAGGAAGAGAACATAAGCAGGGCCCTGGAGGGAGGTTTCTGTCAGAACATAAGAAATAAAAATTCCGGATCTTCACAGTTCTTTTCGATCAAACCACACAAAAAAAAAGAATCCACAGACTCAAGAAAACTTCTTAAACTGAAGGGTATATTGCATGCTGCGCGTGGCCACCACGGGAAAGAAGAATCTCATCACCACGCAAAATTTTAAAACACCAAGAGCGTCGAGAATATTCAGACGTTCAGCTCCCGACCCCAGAATTCCCCACTCATTTTTCACACTGCTACGGAAACGCAGAATACGCAGTGTCAGAAAATAATTCTTACTCCATCCTAAATGAAAAGCCGCTCGAAGATTATAATAGAAGACAGAGAAACACAATCCGTGATTGTTTGTGTGTGTGTGCATGTGTCACAGAGTGGCGTGTATGTAAGAATAAATACATAAAA